GGCTGGGGGATGGGCGGGGGAGATGGCGCTGGTGAGCACCTTTGTTCCCCATCAAACTGAGCTCTGTCGTCCAGGTGCTCAGCAGCTCTCCCTCCCTTTGTCCTCCAGCCTTCCTGCTTTCTGAGCAGAGTTGTTAACTTATGACTTCCCAGACGCTAAGTCGCGCTTGCTGTCAGAACACAGTCTGTCAGGCCCCTCTGCTTTTGCCAGCCAGACTCGGGGGCTCTGCTTGGCCGGCGAGCCGCCCCTCCGCCGCGGCTCCCTCCAGCCAGTCCGTGGAGTGCGCACAGCCTCACCGCCCTTCCTACCCTCTTCTGTGGGCCTCTCGTCTGCGCTTGGCTCCGGAGACTCCGTTCTGCTAATCCTCTGGCGGTTTTCTGGGTTAGTTAGGCAGGTGTAAGTGGAATCTAAGTGATCAGCAGGACGCGCGGTGAGCCCAGCGTCCTCCTATGCCACCATCTTCCCTCCAAGGTCTGTCACCAATTATTATTGTTTCTGCCTCCAACATGTGTTTATTATATATGTGCTATTTTCCTGATCCATTTTACCTGAATGACCACAATCACTTCTGGACATATCTTTGTTGTTGTTCCAAGTTTGTATTTAAATTCTAGCTAACATATAGTGTAATATTGGTTTCAGGAGTAGGATTTAGTGATTCATCACTTCCATATAATTCACTCTTGTCCATCTTCTACCCATTACTCCTTCAACTATAACCCTACAACTATAAGGGTTACTTTAAAAACTTTTTTAATGTTCACCTATTTTTGAGAGAGAGACAGAATGTGAGCAGGGGAGGGGCAGAGAGAGGGAGACACAGAATTTGAAACGGGCTCCAGGCTCTGAGCTGTCAGCATAGAGCCTAGCCCAGGGCTCAAACTCACAGACTATGAGATCATGACCTGAGCCAAAGTTAGATGCTTAACTGACTAAGCCACCCAGGCACCCCTAAGAGTTACTTTTAAAAATTGTCTGATGTCACACCTGTGTGTGTGAGTGTGTGTGTATGCACTGCATTCCATATCCCCTAGAAGTACAAGCATGATTTGGAACGTATCTATCTCTCCAAATTTATCTCAGTTACTACCTGCCTCATCAGTCTTCATTTAGCTTCTCAGAAATTACAAGCTGTTTTCTATTTCATAGATTCTGCATATAATGCATTATATGCTCAAGAGCCTCTTCACTCGTCTTCATTTGAATTATTTATACTCATCTATATTTTTTTAATTTTTTTGTTAATGTTTATTTTTGAGAGACAGAGACAGAGCACAAGGAGGAGAGGGGCAGAGAGAGGAGACACAGAATCAGAAGCAGGCTCCAGGCTCTGAGCTGTCAGCACAGATTCTGACGTGGGGCTCAAACTCACAAGCCCTCAGATCCTGACCTGAGCTGAAGTCGAACACTCAACCAACTGAGCCACCCAGGCGCCCCCTATGCTCGTCTTTAAAAACTGAGCTTGAAATTCACCCTTTCAGAGAGGTATTTTCTTTTCTTTCTTTTTTTTTTTTTTAATAAAAATAGTATTTTTTATCAAGTAGAATTACTCATCATGTGAGATGGGGCATCCCTTCTGCGAAGGCAGAAAGGGAGAAACATGATTTGATTGATACAGAAGAAGCGTAGAAATAGTCTCCCTTTTCTCATATTCTAAGCCTGCATAATACACAAAATATAATCCCTGGAGGATATTAACCATGTAAATCCTTGGATTGAGAGTAACTTGTTCTTCAAGTGTTCAAAAGATGAGCAAACATTTCTACTAAATTTTAACTTGATAAATGAGCAATGTTTTGCAATACAAATGGTATGTGAGATCGAACATCACATGATCATAACTGAGCCAATGGTTCTTTTCTGTCTTTCTCTCTCTCTTTCTCATTGCGGGATTGTTGGTGATTATCTCCCATGCTCAGATCCTGGGTCTCAGACTGCGGTGTTTAGCAGAAATCAGTGATTGTTCAGAATGTTGGAAGATGCCCACAACTGACATTAGTGTGGTTTTTGTCACTTCAAAGAACCTATGGACAGTCTTTTGCTTTTCCATTCAAGATTAAGCTTAGAAATGCTTTGCTTCATCCTAGGTCAGGCTGCCTGAAGATATAGACCCTTCCTCTGCTGCCTTCTTGCCAGTTACATTTTTAAATATAATTTATTGTCAAGTGAGCTAACATACAGTGTATGCAGTGTGCTCTAGGCTTCAGATATAGATTCCCATGATTCATTGTTTACATAAAACACCCAGTGCTCATCCCAACAAGTGCCCTCCTCAATGCCCATCACCCATTTTCCCTTCCCCACATCTCCCCTGCCATCAACCCTCAGTTTGTTCTCTGTATTTAAGAGTATCTTATTGTTTGCCTCCCTCTCCGTTTGAAACTAATTTTTCCCCTTCCCAACTCCCATGGTCTTCTGCTAAATATCTCAAATTCCACATAGGAGTGAAAACATATGATATCTGTCTTTCTTTGACTGACTTTTTTCACTTAGCATAATACCCTCCAGTTCCATTCACGTTGTTGCAAATGAAAAGATTTTATTCTTTCTCATTGCCAAGTAGTATTCCAGTGTATATATAAACCACACCTTCATTATCCATTTATCAGTCAATGGACTCTCTCTGCCCCTCCCCCACTCTGTCTCTTTCTCTCTAAATAAGTAAATAAATAAATAAATAAATAAACAAACATTAGATATGTTCTTTCTATACTGACGTTCTTGAGGGTTTTTTATTAAGAAAGATGCTGTATTTTGTCAAATACTTTTTCTACACCTATTGACAGGATCATATGGTTCTTATCCTTTCTTCTACTAATGTGATGTATCATATTGATTGATTTACAAATATTGAACCAGAGAGGTATTTTCTTAAATTTTTTTTTAATGTTTATGCATTTTGAGAGACAGAGAGATATGGAGCATGAGTGGCAGAGAGAGAGGGAGACACAGAATTAGAAGTAGGCTCCAGGCTCTGAGCTGTCAGCACAGAGCCCAACGTGGGGCTTGAACTCATGAACCATAAGATCATGACCTGAGCTGAAGCTGGATGCTTAACCAACTGAGCCACCCAGGCGCCCCAAGAGTTTTTTTCTTAATTACCAATCTACATGAGAACCACTATCTCTTCTTTTTCATTATGATAATTTTCACAGTTTGTGATTACACCTATTATTTTTAGAGAGGAGAGGAGGTGCAAGTGAGTGAGGGGCAGATAGAAGGAGAAAGAGAGAGAGAGAGAGAGAAGCAAGGCTCTCCCGAAGCAGAGCAGGAGCTCACCTGATGTGGCACTTGAACTCACAGACTATGAGATCATGAACTGACCTGAAGTCAGATGCTTAACTGACAGAGCAACCCAGACGCTCCTACACCTATTTTTCAATGCCGTTCATAAGAACATAACTGAAGATAAGTGTGCTCCTCAAGAGAAGTGTACACTTATCTTTTTTTTTTTAAATAGTTTCCTTCTTTTAATGTTTTTATTTCTTTTTGAGACAGAGAGAGACAAAGCATGAGTGGGGAAGGGGCAGAGAAAGAGGGAGAAACAGAATCTGAAGCAGGCTCCAGGCTCTGAGCTGTCAGCACAGAGCCCGACGCGGGGCTCGAACTCACAGATGGTGAGATCGTGACCTGAGCTGAAGTCGGACTTTTAACCAACTGAGCCACCCAGGCGCCCCAAGTGTACACTTTTCTTGATGAGCAGTGAGTAATATATAGAATTGTTGAATCCTATATTGTACATCTGAAACCAATTTAATACTATATATTAACTATACTGGAATAAAAATTTTTAAAAATGAAGCCTGTTCCTGGGTGGCACAGTCAGTTAAGCTTTGGACTCTTGATATCGGCTTAGGTCATGATCTCATGGTTCGTGAGTTCAAGACTCCCATCAGGCTCTGTGCTGATGGTGCAGAACCTGCTTGGGATTCTGTCTCTCCTTCTCTCTGCCCCTGCCCCGCGTGTGCACACACTCTCTCTTTCTCTCTCTATCTCTCTCAAAATAAAGATATAAACTTAAAAAAAAAAAAAGTAAAAATCAGAGATGGTGAAAAAAAAAAGAATATAACTTACTGTGGTCAGGTGTTCTATATGTTATGTACTCCACTCTATGCTTGGGAGCTATCTTGTGCTTGGCACACAAGAGGCATGGGAGGGGATGGTTCTTTCTCTCTCCCAAAATTTGCTTCTACGTCAAGGAAATAGTAATTTAAGATACCTAGTCTTTACTCTCTCCTCATTTCTTCTCAAGGAAGGGAGGAACATAATCCAATTACAGAATGAACTGAGATAAATTTCTTTTTTTTTTTTTTTTTTGGAAGATACAATTGCTAGTACTTGGCCTATCCTGTTCCCTTTTCCCACTATTCCTTCCTTGTGGGAAAACTGACTTACTCCTATATTGCCTGTGATTGCAAAGGTAATTATGTCCATTTGGGGGTTGGTATTAGGAAACCCATTGCTGACTGACATATAGGCTTCATTCTCAAATTTCTGTTTTATGAAATATAGAGGTGACACTTTGGCCTGCACAAATATCTTCTTTCTCAATTGGTTCAAAACCTGGGTGGGAGAGAGGGAAATACATATTAGCCCTCTCAAAGACCCTGTATCTCCTGAAAAGGAGGCTGGTTAGCATGTGCCCAGATTTTCCCTTTAATCTTTCCCATTAAGTTGCTCCACATTTTTCAGAAAAAGTAAATGGCAGAGTAGAAGTAGAAGGCAGAGACGAGCCCAGAATTATTGCACAACGGGACTCCCATAACAATGAAGGAAACATCAGAAGTAGGGAAGAAATGTGCTCTTTTGCAACATGTTATCGGTACATATTTGGTGAGTTAATTCATGAATGAAAAAGTATAATACAATATGATAAATTGAACAACGAATCTTGCTGATCAAAGGCTATAATATTATAAAGCCAAGGAGTCTCCAGATATCACATCAGAACTACTTTACCTAGATCTTGTGTAATTTCAGACAAGTAAAGAAACCACAGAATGGAGCTCTGGAACTCCACCTTAGGAAATGACTTCACATTAGCGGAGATTCTGAATGACAGTGGGGTTCCCAAACTGCTTTTTGCAACAATCGCTGTCCTGTACATATTGGCCCTGACCAGCAATGGCCTGCTGCTCTTGGTCATTATAATGGATTCCTGGCTCCATGTGCCTAACCTACTTAGCCAGCTATCTCTCATGGACTTGATGTTTGCATCTGCAGTTACTCCCAAAATGCTTGTGGATTATCTGCATGGGAAGAACACCATCTCCTTTGAAGGCTGCACCTTTCAGATGTTAGTAGTTCTCACTTCAGGAGGTGCAGAGGACTTACTACTGGCGTTCATGGCCTATGACAGGTATGTGGCTATTTTTCATCCTTTGCACTACATGGTCCGCATGAGGCCAAGGATATGCTGGCTCACAATAGCCACACCTTGGGTCCTGGCATTCCTGAATGCTGTGATACTCACTTCATATACTATGCACTTTCCTTTCTGTATGTCTCGGAAAATCAGGCACCTACTCTGTGAGATCCCACCCTTGTTGAAATTGGCCTGTGCAGATACCTCCATATATGAGCACATGGTATATGTGACAGGTGTGATCTTTCTCATGCCTACCCTTGCTGCTATCCTTGCCTCTTATACATTTGTCCTAATTGCTGTCCTTCATGTGTCCTCGGGTAAGGGAAGGAAGAAAGTCTTCATCACATGCTCTTCTCACCTGACT